GGGGGGAGCGGGAGGAGGGGGGGGTCTGGTGAGTCGAGGGCCCGCCCGGTCATGGGAAAGCAGGGCCCTTGCCTGGAGGCTGGGCCGCGGCCACCAACTCGCCGCCCACTGTACCGTGACTTGGATGCTCTGGGGACTCGCGAAAGCCCCTTGCCCTGGGACAGGGCCGAGGGGCCTGTGGGCTGATGAATGAGGCCCGCGCTAGAGCGAGGCGCTGGCTCTCGAGGCCCATTCATGGGGACTCAGTTCTTAGGAACTCTGGGTGGACGGGTCCCGGTTAGACGAGGCTCTGTTCTGCAGTTTCTGAGAGACTTTTTTTGTCTTTGTCCCTGGTGCAGGGGCTCAGCGTGCCTGCGTGCGTGTGTGTGCATCTGCGTGTGTGTGTGCTCGCACGCGTGTGAGCATGCGGGCGTGCATGTGTGCGCATGTGTGTGCATGTGTGTGCGTGCGCATGCATGTGTGTGTCTGCGTGCATGTGTACATGTGCACATGCATGTGTGTGGGTGTGCACATGTGCATGTGTGCGTGCATGTGTGCGTGGGTGTGCGTGGGTGGGTGTGAGACACACTGGCTGAGGGGCTAGCCCTCGCAACTTGTCTGTGAAATGACCAGGCCACCCTGCTCACCTTGGGGCAGAGATGCACCTCCGTGAGGTAGAAAGATTCAGGGAAGGCAGAGGCCCCAGGGACCAGGGTCAGAGCCCCTTGTCACTACTGCCTAATTGTCGGGCCCCTGACAACCCACTCTGCCAGGGTGCTGTCTGTCAGCCTCGGGGTCCGACAGCTGCTCGGACCCACCGTGGGGGGGCAGCATCGTGTTGCAGGTGGAAGGCGCAGGCCGGCTCCCCGCAGACAGACACAGGCACGCGCCTAGGCGCTACTGGCGAGCCCGTTTGTCTTCCCAGAGTCTCTTTCCCGTTGTTCTTTTTCGTTGCTAATGTCGTTTTAATCTATTAAGGGACTGGCAGTTTGAAAATGTTTGGTAAAGTGGTATTGACATGTATGTCACGGCCTCTGTGGCATTACAGGGGGCAGGGGGCAGAAGTCACGCACACAGAAATCGTACAAGTAAAGTTTTTCCGTCAGAGTACTTGGTGGCACAGAAAAACACTCAGAGTATCTTTGGTACAGATTTGAAAAGTCACCTCCCCATTCTCCCTAACCAGCCAGAGGCCACGGGGCAGCAAGACTCAGCCCCAGTGGGCAGGCTGGCTGGGGAGGGGGCTCCTGCACTGGAGGTGGCATTGTACTCCCACCCCCCACTAATAGCGCCTTCTGCCCCAGACACGCACGCAGCCCGCTCCCTCGCCCGCACGTGACGAAGTTAGGGCATGGGGTTTCGGCGCGAAGCACGGGTGCGTGCAGAGGCACAGGCAGCTCCACAAACAGTCGGGAGAAACGGGCCAGGGAGAGGCGTGTGCGTGACCAAGCCCACGCTCCAGAGTAAATAAACCGAAAACTTAGGAGAGAGGGGTCTTTGTGCCTAGTGGCCGAGGAAGTTCACTTTTGTGAAAAGGCCACATGCAAGTCATACTTCCAACTAGGCAAGGCGGCACAAAAACCTCATTTAGGCTGGGCCCGGCCCAGGAGCGTTTTCTGTGAAATTTAGAAGTCAGGTTTAGCCAGAATTTCTTCCAGGAATTATGAACCTCTGGAGACTGTAACCACTGTTCCTTCTGAGCCACCCCTGCCAAAGTCTATAAAATATGAGCCTAAAAAATCTGCCTGAAGAGCAGTCTGACGTTTTACATATATTTATAAAGAAATAAAATAAAATAAACTATCGCCAGACTTTTCAGGAGAACCCAATTAAAGCGGGCAGGGCAGCCCCATCCGGGGCCCCCAGGTGTGGAGAACAGGCCTGCGTTTCCCTTGGGGGGGGGGTCTGCACAGGCGAGGGGAGCAGAGCCCTTCATTCCCGGCTCACATTCTCTCTTGGCCCTTTTGTCCTCGATGGGACTGTGAAAAGGAGTGGCCTGTGTCTGAGGACGGAGCAGGGGGCTCGGCATCTGGGGCGGGATGCGCTGACTGCGGCTGGCTACCGTGCCGGCCGATTTATTTGTGGTGGTTTCTCACTGCGCCTGTGGGAGGTGATGATGCCTTGTTTCACTATCAGGAAACTGAGGCACAGAAAATCTTGGGGACTTGCCAGGACACACAGCTCTATGTCTGGGCCGTAGCTGCGTCTGTACTCAAGATGGCCGGCCTCTCGGGGTACTTCCTACTTACCCCAGACCCCGGGGAAGGAAAGGAGACCAAACCCTTGACACACTGGTGACTTTCGTCCCTCCTGCCAACAGCTGAACCGTCTACCCCCAGGGCGATGTGGACTTGGCATCACAGCCCTCTACCCCACTGCCTGTGTTCTTTCTAGAACATGCCACTGTCCCAAAGGCACAAGCACCACTCAAGCTGGCCCCCTCCCCAGAGCCACCACCGTCACCCCAGCTGGTGGCCCTATTGTCACATGCTAGGACTTTCCTCTTTCTCATGGAACCAGTCCCATTCCCTTCTGGGGGCGGCGGGGGGACGGCGGGGAGCAGACCACACGAGACCCAATGAACCATTTCCGGGCTGTAATTATCCCCCAAAAACCCATCACTGGCACTCCAGACCCTGAGATGCTACCACCCCCGACCTGTGGACCCCCAACTCTGGGTTCGGGGGCACTGCACACATAGCTGCCGGCAGGCACAGAGGTCCCCTGGCAGGACAGCACAGTGCGGGTCCGCCCCAGGCGTGCGTTTGCAGCGTGACAGCATGCTGAGGACTCACCAGTGCCACAGCGCGCACAGCCCAGCCCTCCGACACGGCCCGTCGGCCAGGGAAGAATGTGAGGCGGTTTTCAGTGCGGGGACGTCATATCCAGGCAAGATGGAGCCGAGGGACACTGGAAAGGGATAAAGGAGAGAGGCAATTAACCTGTGAATGCTAGAAAAATCCAGCACATTGTCTGGGACTAGAAGAGGCGTCAACGAGGCGTCCCACGTCTGGGGACAGTGTCTTGCTGGACTTTTGAACGTGGCGTTGGGCAGGTGGGGGTGGCAAGGTGCCTACACATTTGGTGTTGAAGACAATGGGAAAGGCACAAAGGGAAGCAGGTGAGCCTAGCAGGAAATGGGGGGGTGGGCACGAGGCTGGGGAGCTTCCAGTCAGACCCTGAAGGGTCTTACATGCTAGGTGAAGGCTCACGGACCACACCCCAGAAGCTCCGGGAAGTCAGATGGAGGACGTACAAGGTAGTGACAAGGTCAAAATGGCATTTTAGAAAGGTCGCTCCAAAGTTTGAAAACAAACTTTGCTGACTGTTTCACCCGGCTACCCCATTCCTAAGAATTTGGGGTAAAGGAAAAGTTTGTGGATTCAGATGCAGCAACACTCACGCAGGGCCACTAGCCACAGCAGAAAAACGGGACCAACTTAAATCTTTTTCAGCGGGTGTCACCCGAGCAGAGTTGTATTAATTAAAACCCTGGCTTGTGACGTGCCCTCCTCACGGGTCTGTGCCGACCCGACTTTTATATGCTGTATTCATTCTTATTTATTTTCTTAAATAGTATGAGAAGCACCCACGAAGCTGTCACCCACCCCGACCACGGGGACACTGACCACAGCCCCTCCTCCCCCAGCGCACGCAGGGTGGGGAATTTGACCGGAGAAGGGGTGCTGATCCACAGTGGTCCACAGACACCCCCAGATGATTAAACAGCTCTTAAAATGGAAGAGCCGAGGCCCACGGCCTTCTCACGGACCCGGCGTTTAGCACAGAACTGGGTTCATTGTGAATTCATAAATACTTCCTCATCGCTGGTCCAAGCGTGTCCCTGTTTTGTTTTGCTGATTTATGCATTCATGGATTCATCTGCAATGATGCCATGAACACTCTGGGGAGCCCACTCCCCAAATCTGCACCTTAGCGATTACTTACACCTGCCTCCACACCCGGTCCCTGCAGGGCGAGGACCGAGGGCCTCTGTGGTGGCAGGGAGGTGGTTAAACACACTCTGGTGTGTACAGACCACAGGGGCTACAGTGCCGCGGGAAAAGAATGGCATTGATCTTGACTCCTGAGTGAAGAAAAACAATCTGCACAGAAAGGAATAGCACCCGAGGATGCAGTTTTTATGTAAAAAATAAGCAAGGTCGATGGGTACACATATGCAAATGCACAGAAAACATGCAGCCATAACCCTGAAACCTATAAGGGCAGTTAACGAGTGGGGGGCTGGGGGCACGTGTTGAAGCAGGCCTTTGCTGTTACCCACAATGTTTGCTTTCTAATCATGAATGCATTAATTATCAATGCATTTCTTGCATGACTAAAATCAACATTTGGTAGGTGGGTTGTTTTTCTTTTAACAAACACAAAGGGAAGAACATTTTGGCCGATAGGTCGTGAGTGGACACACACCCCTCCCCCAAAGAAGTTCTGCAGACACGGGGGAGTTATCTGATCCCCAAGACCATTCCTTTTTTAATTTTATGTGTTCTAAAGCTGGCGCCCAGGGCTCCGAGTGGCATGTCAGTGACATGAGGCCAGCAGGTGTGCGCCTGCCGGCTGCGATTCCACCACCCGCGGGCCCCAAATCCCTCCGAGCCGCCCAGTGGGTGTCTGCACCGGCCTGTCTGTCGGGAGTACTTTTTCCTTTTCGGTCTTTAAGGGGCCCAAAAGCTAACGCCCTGGCCTGTGCTCTCGGGGATTAGCTAAGTGGAACGAGAATGTGACACAAGGCAGGCCCAGGAGAGGGGACACGCCAGCCTCTGGGGAGCAGCGGCCCCCTGGCTCACATATGCCGACAGCCGTGTGGCTCGCTGGCAAGGAGCCGGGGCGCGCGGGGCCGACGGCTCCACTCCCGTGCGGAACCCCCAGCTGCCACGTTCCCTCCCAGCGCTAACCAAGAGGGAGTGTGGCTAAAGGACACGGGGACGCTAAGCCGTCAGATCCAGAATGGGCAGGGGCAACCTGGCAGGTCTTTCTGTTCACCTCTCCCCCCCCCCCCCTTCGTCT